TTTTTGGTTGCAGGGATCAATTACAATCATTTTTTATCAATATATATACCCTCGAAATCCTACTCACTTTCTAGAAAAAAATTTGTCTAGGTGGACAAATTTTATTAATAATTTTGTTAATAACTTTTTAACAAATCCTCTATCAACAAATTGGTATTCTTGTTTTTCGTCATATTTTGGCCTCTAGAATCTCTCATTAAAATTTTTCCCATGGTTGGCCGAACATCCTGCTATTATTTTATGTTAATAATAACCAACAATATTTTGAATGCATATTTAATGTTTGCACATATGCAAACAGTATTAGTATTACATTAAAAGTCTGAAATTCTCTATGCAAGCTATATTAAACCTTTCGTCGGAAATTCATGTATTTTGTTCCCATTTGGTCAGTTAATATTTCTATTTTAGCAATCTGTTGTACAATTTAATTTATTTACGATAGTATTTCGCGTTAAATCGATTCTCACGAGACGTAATAATTTCCTGCGGTGTCGTAAGCTGTTCAACATTTTTCTAGCAATCGATAATTTGTCTTTCTTTCATTTCGTAACGGTTCTTCTGCCTTTCTGTAATTGTAAGTGATGAATCGCGTGGAATGTGGAACAAAACCCCTAATAACACCATTTTCTAACGACGGAGAAGGGGTGGTTACGCTACGTGATTTATCAGCTAACCCAGACTTTATCCACGATATGCTAAGCGTATTGCGTGCGACAATTATGCATGAGATAATATTATTACAGAGCGTTTCGTGATAACATCCTGTTTAATAGGTAGAAAAGAAAATTCCTTCGTGGGTTACCGATGATCCACGCGACACAGTGAAGCGTCACTGTCCAAACACATGACAATGCGTTCGTGTGTTCGCGATTCCTTTTGTTTCGAATCAAAAAACAGACTTTTAAGATTTTTAAAAAACAATAGAATGCAACATATCCAGTCGAAACATTTTATATCTATCGATACACATATAAAGACATCACACGAATATTTTCACGCGATTCATACGTAACAGATTGCATTTAATAAACGAAAACCAGAAATTATTATTCTCCATAAATGTAATTTTCGTTGTAAGTTGAACAAATTACGGAATTCTAAAATAGAGGAAATTTCAACGCTTTGATGAAATGCAGCAATTTATATTGCAATTTTTCCAACGTGCTTTTGGATCGTGAAAAAAATTTGTCCAACATGCTCAGTTAATTCAAGTTTGGACATTCGATTTGTGTAAAAAATAATTTGAAATTTTTATACGATGATTCCATGTTCTCCGGTAACATAACCGAAACTTTTTCACTCGTTACACTTTCTAACAAGATGATGTTAGTTGCAATCGCTAATTTTATAGAATATATAGAGTCAAATTTAATTTGTGATTTGTGAATTTTATGAGCAAATAAAATATTCTAACGATTCAAATTAGTGCAAAATATATATTTCATATTTTTCCAAACGTTCGTACAACTCGAAAGAAGTTCAACCCCTCGATGTACGATTTAATTACAATTTTTCAAACACATATAATCCTTTAAAAAAATTTTTTTTTTAAAGTGTTTTAAAATTTATTCGATCCACTCAACCCTGGAACAGTCTATTACACGACTATACACATCAGATCTTTGGGTAAAAAATAATCCTTATCAAACAAATTATTTATTTCTCGATATAATAAATAATATTCAAATAATAATTGACGTGGTATCGAACACGTTCGTCATTCTCATTTTCTCATTTATGTATTGTTCACAGGCTAAATTAATTAATTTCACTTTTTCAATTTTTTCTTTTTACATTAAAAAATTTTTTGATCGACGTTAAATTTTTTATATTTAAAATAAACTTTCTTAACACTAGAAAGACTGAAACTTAGTATATACCTATATTGCCCAAAAGCAGTCAAAATGACTGCATCGTGAAAGAATAAATAATGTGTAAAGAAATTTGTTTAAAATTAATTTTTAATATTATGAATTTAGGGCGCAGAAATAAAATAAACAACTTGTTAGAACAAGTATCACTGCATAAAGATTCGAATAACAAGTACTACTTTAGCTTATTGAGAAACTGTAATTTATCAATAGGTCTGGGTTAGGTCTGGGTTAGGTCTGGGTTAGGTCTGGATTAGATCTGAGTTAGATCTGAGTTAGGTCTGGGTTAGGTCTGGATTAGATCTGAGTTAGGTCTGGGTTAGGTCTGGGTTAGGTCTGGGTTAGGTCTGGGTTAGGTCTGGATTAGATCTGAGTTAGGTCTGGGTTAGGTCTGAATTAGATCTGGATTAGATCTGGGTTAGGTCTGGATTAGATCTGGATTAGATCTGGGTTAGGTCTGGATTAGATCTGGATTAGATCTGGGTTAGGTCTGGATTAGATCTGGGTTAGGTCTGGGTTAGGTCTGGGTTAGGTCTCATTTACATTGTTGTTGTATTTTGTAATTTCCAAGTGTATGATTTGGTTTGGACTCGAAAAAATGTCGAATGGGATTTGACGAACAATGCTTTTAAAGTGTTTTATTTGAAATTTACCTGTTAAAATAAGTGTTTTATTTACACTGTTGTTGTATTTTGTAATTTCCAAGTGTATGATATCTGTTTGGTTTGGACTTGAAAGAATGTCGAGTGAGACTTGACGAAGGTGCTCCTGAGATCAAAATTGATGTCGAATCACACTCGACATAGGAGTGCAAAGGGTTAAGATAATTTGGATTATTAACTACTCCAGACCTAACACAGACTTAAACCAGACCTAACCCAGATCTAATTCAGATCTAATCCAGACCTAACCCAGAGCTGACTCAGATCTAATCCAGACCTAACCCAGACCTAACTCAGATCTAACTCAGATCTAATCCAGACCTAACCCAGACCTAACCCAGATCTAGGGTCTGGGTTAGGTCTGGGTTAGGTAAGCCCAAATCGACAATTTATCATGTACTTGTATGTTATCATGTGTTGGTAATCGAAAAAAAATGAAAACTGTTATTTCAATACAGAGTCGATCTGGTCATATAAGAAATTTACTCAATTCAATAATAAGAGTCATTTGATTATTTAAAATTTCCCAAGTAGTCAAAATTACTGCTTTTTTGGGCAATATAGGTATAACACATATATACAGGGTGTTCGGCCACCTCTAGCAAAAATTTTAATGAGCGATAGAAGAGGCCAAAATAAGACGAAAATCAAGAATACTAATTTGTTGATGGAAGCTTCGTTAAAAAGTTATTAACAATTAAATTCAAAAATTTCAAATCGTTCTGGAAAAATTATTTTCGGTTGCGGGGGTCAACTACAATCATTTTTGGTGAGTACACATACCTCCGAAATCCTATCTACTTTCGAGAAAAAAAATCGAGTAGGTGCTGAAATTTTTCGGCGAAAAAAAATTTTTCAAATCGTTTTAAAAAAATTATTTTCGGTTGCGGAGATCAATTACAATCATTTTTTATCATTACACATACCTCCGAAATCGTACGCACTTTCGAGAAAAAAATTCCTTACTGAAAATCCAATTAGGTGCCTAAATTTTTCGACGGAGAAAAAAAATTGCAAATCGTTGTGGAAAAATTATTTTCGGTTGTAGGGTTCAATTACAGTCATTTTTGGTGAATAGACATACCCCCGAAATCTTGCGCATTTTCGAGAAAAAAATTCAGTAAGGGCGGCACTTTAAACGTTAATAACTTTTTAACGAAGCTTCCACCAACAAATTAGTATTCTTGATTTTTGTCTTATTTTGGCCTCTACTATCGCTCATTAAAATTTTTGCTAGAGGTGGCCGAAAACCCTGTATATACCGGAAATGAAGGAGGGGAGAGGTAACTACAATTATTAATAAACGCATTTATATGTTGTACAAAAAGTCACAAAATTCTAAGAAATTGTGTGATTATATACATAATTGTTTTTCTAATTGAAATTAAAAAGCAGTCAAAATGACTTCCTTGGGCAATCTAGTGTTAATAATTAAATTTGAGGCCTTTAAATGATATATTTTTGAAAATAGAATAGTAAATTATTTATTTCAAAAGCCAAATGTAATTAATATAAATAAAGCATTCAAATATCTTCAAAAGCGTTGATGATATCGAAAAATGTTTGAAAATGATGCATAATCTACTGTAACTTTTTCTTTCGTAAATAAGCATGTAGAGGGCATCTGTAGATTATTAATATGTTTTTTAAATGGAATCATTAAATGGAAACTAGCCATTTCTGGTGAAAAATATTTAGTTTCGAAGATATTTAAACATAAATATTGAAGCTTTCAAATTATTAATTTTTTAAACTAATCACTTTTTGGTGATAAATAAAACAGTATATTTCTGTTGGAAATGTGGAATTACATCGATTAATGCATTAAATGCATATACTGAATGTCATATAGTAGAAATATTTACATTTAAATATCTTCTAAACTAATGGTTTCTCGTCTCAAGTGACTAAATACTTTTCTACAAAAAATAACGAATAATGGATGAAAAAATCTATGATTCTATCAAAAAAAATATTACTGACCACCACATGTCTATAAACAATCTAATTGTCAAAACTAACAATCTATTATGTTTCCCTCGAAGCTACTTAATTTTCGTATGAAATATTTTTCAGTACCGTCGACAGTTTTGAAAAAAAAGAAATAGTGTTTTTGAAGCCGTCGCGGAAGAACGAGCCCTTAATAATGTATCGACCTGGGGCCGCGCCGTTCCCTTCGAAAAGGCGCCATCGTCGTTTCTTTTGCATTTCGATTCAATATTTAAACAGCTCGCCATCGAGGTTACACAGTTTTGCGAAAACGTAACGAAAATTCGACTTTCCACGCTCACCCCCCTGGTCGCCAGGGAGTTCCCCCCCTAGGGTTGAATGTTTAATGAGAATAGGCGCTCTTATGTTTTCAGGCGGTAAAAAAGCGTGGTTCGGGGGGGGGGAGGGGGCTAAAGTTGTGAAAAATGCCCGCGAGGAAACCCGGCGGTGAATATTGTCACGTGGACGCACTTACCCGCGCGAAGGTCTTCCATTTTTCCTCAAGTAATCGCTGAATAATACCACCGTCCAGCATGTCCAAGTGCTCCTCCTTCGTGCCGTTCAGAATGATAAATAGCGCGGAGTTCCAGTCTGAAATAGAAATTCGGAGAGGACCATTTGCGGTTAATGGAACATCACTTTAGGGTTCCCTCGTCGCGATAATTATGGGTTTTGCATTAGCGGCCCGGTATATATATTAGATGCACGAGTTCCAACCCCCATACGTGTGTGTGAAGAGGGGGAGGGGGTTGGTTTTTCTGTAACCGGGCCACGTGCGGTGCTAAACTTTCTTGCGTGTGAAGATAAAAGTTTATGCTACTTCCGCGCTCGAAGAATTCCACGGAATCGTTAATCTGCCTGGGCGAAACTTGCCCTCGCGCTTCCGGGAAGTCAGCTCTAATGCTAGTTCGATGCGGCGTTTAAATTTCGCCGGACACATAAATGCGAGTACTCTAAAGGCTTTTGGAAAGTGTTATTAATGGAAAACGGTATGAACTTCGGACCCCGGGGCTTCCGACCCATCGGTGACGACAATTTACACGAGTTGAAGAGACCCGAAACCGCCGCGCGTTTGTCCTCCGCGAAAATGCACTCGTGGCATCGTTTGTTCGCAGTTGTTCTTCTGCATTCGGTGGCGTTGATTATTATTATGGTGAAAAATAAGTTTGGAAGATATTTCAACATGAATATTGAAACTTTTGAATTATTGATTTTTTAAACTAATCACTTTTTGTGATAAATGATACGGTATATTTCTGTTGGGAATGCGGAATTACATCGATTGATGCATTAAAAAATGCATTAAATGCATATGTTACAGTGAAACACCGAAATCTGGAGAATGTCGACTTTTACCGGTGAATGTCAACATTCACATAGTCGCTTAGTGTATGTCCGAAATATTTGCTAAACACCCTTATTTCTGACTTACACCGGTAAATGTTGACATTCACCATGCACTAATGGTGAGTGTTGAACTTGTTGGAGATTTATATTTTCTTCCCCGTAATTCAGTCGCTATAAAACGTCACAAGGGTGACGTAACTTTTTCGCCTCTCTTTCTGAAAGGATCTAACCCAGACCTAACCCAGACCTAACCCAGACCTAACCCAGACCTAACCCAGACCTAACCCAGACTTAATTCAGACCTAACCCAGACCTAACCCAGACTTAATTCAGACTTATTCCAGACCTAACCCAGACCAATTCATCGCTGATAATGGGGGTTAGGTCTGGGTTAGGTCTGGGTTAGGTCTGGAATAAGTCTGAATTAAGTCTGGGTTAGGTCTGGGTTAGGTCTGGGTTAGGTCTGGGTTAGGTCTGGAATAAGTCTGAATTAAGTCTGGGTTAGCTCTGGGTTAGGTCTGGGTTAGATTAGGTTCATTTTTGTTTTGTCGTTGTTGGAAACTCATCAAATGCAATTCCTAATGAAATACCTATTTTTCTGTGTTGCTTTACGAGCTTTAGAAAGGATCCACAGAAACAGTAACGAAAATTTGTGAACTATTAGAAAAATAGGCCTGACTACTTGTTTTCCCCAGTCGCGTTATAAACGATATTTGTTAAAAATAGTAAGAAACAAAATATCGTTACAAATTCGAATAATTTGCAATGTGTTGCGAATGCAAATGTCAGGTGACTGGAACAAGATGACTGACAATCCAAAGTTAAAACTCTCTTATTGGGAAAGCCGTATACTCGTATCCTGGGTTACGTCTGGGTTAGATTAGGCTCATTTTTGTTTTGTCGTTGTTGGAAACTCATCAAATGCAATTCCTAATGAAATACCTATTCTTCTGTGTTGCTTTACGAGCTTTAGAAAGGATCCACAGAAACAGTAACGAAAATTTGTGAACTATTAGAAAAAGAGGCCTGACTACTTGTTTTCCAAGTCACGTTATATACGATATTTGTTAAAAATAGTAAGAAACAAAATATCGTTACAAATTCGAATAATTTGCAATGTGTTGCGAATGCAAATGTCAGGTGACTTGAACAAGATGGTTGACAATCCAAAGTTGAAACTCTCTTATTGGGAAAGCCGTATACTCGTATCCTGGGTTACGTCTGGGTTAGATTAGGTTCATTTTTGTTTTGTCGTTGTTGGAAACTCATCAAATGCAATTCCTAATGAAATACCTATTCTTTTGTGATGCTTTACGGTAAAGAAAATTTGCGAACTATCAGAAAAGTAGCCTTGACTACTTGTTTTCCAAGTCGCATTATAAACGATATTTGTTAGAAACAGTTCGTAGGAACCAAAATATCGTTCCAAATTTGAATAATTTGCAACGTGTTGCGAATGCAAATGTCAGGTGCTGGAACAAGATGGCTGACAATCCAAAGTTGGAACTCTTTTATTGGAAAACCGTATACTTGTATCCAGGGTGTACAACGTTCGTTGGTGGATGAATAGAAGCAGCAATCGCGGGCATAGAAGGCGCAGGGTAGAAAATTTGGACGGCTGACAAATATCGTACAACGGCCAATGAACTTTTAACCGTGCCCGTCCGTATTGATTATCGAGGTTTCTTCGGCTCGACATCGCATTGAAATATTAAGGATTCATTTCGGGGTTTGGTAAAGTTTATGCATCCCCGTCGATTGATTTTTACAGCGGTCGGTGCAGACGCAGCCTCTGTCGCGTCAAATTCTCTTGGCCTCGCGGTCTCCCCCCCCCCACACCCGGTTCGATCGTACCCCTCAGACTCTTTAATCACTCGTCGACCTAAGCAAAGCTGCTTTCACGGTGGCTTAAAGCGTCACGAAAGTTCGCGGTTCCATTGGGATATTTTCAAGGAAACGTTTTAACGGTCCGTGCGTCTGTTGTCAATCTCCATTCTTCTCTTTCCAGGCTCGCGGACCGCATCGATGGGAACATCCCCCGCCAGAGCTTCTGCCCGGGGAAATTGAATTTCAGATGCGCGGGCAAAATTGCAACGAATATCCGCGCGTTCGAACCTCCATTCGATTCTCAGCTTTCTTGAACGATTCGAAACCCCGTCGAACCGGTTTTCATCGGAGGCAACGACGCCTATGGTATTCCCGATCATTTAGCCAGACGTCGATCGCCAATTATCGCGTTTAATGAATAGAATAATGTCTGCGAGCAATACGCGGTATAATTTGATAACCACTTTGATGTTCCACGGAAGCTTAAAAGCTACGAATCCAATCAATTCGACAATGGTGGCCCCGCTTATTCGATTTTATGATTATTTGCACCACGTACGATTCTCCGTGGACGTGAACAATGTGCACACCGTGTATGTACAGTAACGTTCACTTTGCAAAATTCTTTGTCGCTTTATATAATTATCGAGGTACACAGTTTCCCTTGTATTTGTACAGTATAATGGTGATTCATTATAAATGGAAAGAAATTTGTTTTTTTATGAATTCTTGTCATTTATTTTTATCAAATTGTTTTCATTTTATTTCATTTAAAAAAAATTTATTTGTATATAAACCCTTAAATACCTCAATGTACGGAAAAATGGAGTCATTCCAGTTTGAAAAATACAATTCATAAGAAACTAGTCTTTTTTCATTTATAGTGAATCATCATTAGTGTATGAATACGAGTAACTGTATATGTATATTACATCATACACGAAGTATAATATTTATTTAATTTACAATGTTTCTTAGTAAGTAAATCTTAAACAGAAAAAACATCTAATTTTTATATTACTTTAATACTTGGACACTTGAGTATACTTTGCATGAAATCGAAAAATTGAAATTGAATTGAAATTGAATTGAATTGAATTGAATTAAAATTGAATTGAATTGAATTGAAATTGAATTGAATTGAATTGAATTGAATTGAATTGAATTGAATTGAATTGAAATTGAATTGAAATTGAATTGAATTGAATTGAATTGAAATTGAACAGAAAAAACATCTAATTTTTATATTACTTTAATACTTGGACACTTGAGTATACTTTGCATGAAATCGAAAAATTGAAATTGAATTGAATTGAATTGAAATTGAATTGAATTGAATTGAAATTGAATTGAATTGAATTGAATTGAAATTGAACAGAAAAAACATCTAATTTTTATATTACTTTAATACTTGGACACTTGAGTATACTTTGCATGAAATCGAAAAATTGAAATTGAATTGAATTGAATTGAATTGAATTGAAATTGAATTGAATTGAATTGAATTGAATTAAAATTGAATTGAATTGAATTGAAATTGAATTGAATTGAATTGAATTGAATTGAAATTGAATTGAAATTGAATTGAATTGAATTGAATTGAAATTGAACAGAAAAAACATCTAATTTTTATATTACTTTAATACTTGGACACTTGAGTATACTTTGCATGAAATCGAAAAATTGAAATTGAATTGAATTGAATTGAAATTGAATTGAATTGAATTGAATTGAATTGAATTGAATTGAATTGAAATTGAATTGAAAATCGAAAATGCTTTGTTACAGCTAAAGTACTTTGCCTAACATTTACACTTAAAACTGTGGATCTTTCTCTAACTCGATTACGCCTCGCCTAAATAATCGATTCTTTATCAATCATATCACGTGCATTCATATACAAGTATAAAAAAAAATTATTGAATAATAAGAAAAAAACATTACTCTTAAAATTGAAATTATAATTAATTTTCTTGTGGCATAGAAAAAAATTATTGAATAATAAGAAAAAAAAATTGAAATTATAATTAATTTTCTTGTGGTATAGAAAAAAATGATTGAATAATAAGAAAAAAAATTAATTTTAAAATTGAAATTTATAACCACAATTAAATATATTAAAAGGTGTAAACCTGTAAATGTCAGTGAAGAATAATACCGTTGTTATAAAATCGAGCATTTCGTTAATATGCATAAGCGCGTTTAAGCTATAGACAGTGTACTTTGAACATAAAATTAATTCATTATTGGCACTCCTAGGGACAAAGAAACTAAGGAACAGAGGCCTGTAGGCTAATCCTTTTTGAGTTGAACAACATTTCTAACGGCTGAGTAGTAATTTATGAAAGTAGCTGTTTAAAAGAGATGTTTATATGGTCAGGCTATCGTAGTTCTTTGTATTACTTAACAGCCACTTT